TCGACTTCGGATTCGGATTCGGATTCGGATTTGGATTTGAATTTGGATTTGGATTTGGATTTGGATTTGGTCAAATGATCGATTGATTGATTAATTTTTTGGACCAAATTTATTTGTTAATAGTAAATATTAACTTAAGATTATCCGCATTTATAACGGATATGTTCAAATCCGTGTATTGACCACCAGCTGCAATAGCAGCCGCCTAATGCTCTTCCCACCATGGCCAAGTGCTTGCTTCACAAATAAGCTAGTGCATGCTCTACCATGGAGGGTGGAGGGTCGTTCATCTTCAAAGCTGACTACTATAAATATATGCAGCAACTGTTGAAGAAAGAGACACCAAACTGAAAACGCTCAACTTTGGCTATACATTGCACTCCTTCCTCTCAGCATTTCCATACGATTTTCTGAGTTTCTACTCATTTGTTCTGCATTGTTTTAACTTCAAACAAAGCAACTGTAAGTGTGATTTGCTATCGAACTTTGTGTTCGCTGAAACACTGGGGTTTGAAGTACCGCTACACCAGTGTGTGATTCGTTCTATCCTAGGAGGAAATAATCCATAACCTTGGGTACTAGGAGGAGATTAAATTCCTTAAGGAAACACTGTGAATTCAGTGGGCTCGAATTAATTACTGTTTCATTACGATAACTTATATTTCCCAAAATTATTATTTACAAATACAGCAATATTGGCGGGACTAACAGTTTTCATATTGTACCTTTCAGTTTTATCTAGAGTCAATTGTAATAGGTACTCAGAGTATTCAAGTTAGAGTTAACTTGAAGTTATCGCAACAGTTAGAGGTTGTGTGCCACAACGGGATTAGAGTTAATCCTAGGTTTACAAAAGTATTTTGTAAATGAAGTTTTTGGATTAGTGATTTAGTGGAGAGTTTGGGAAAATCCTACTGAGAAGTAGGTCGTAGTTTTTTCACCTTTTGAGCCAGATATTTTTCACGTAAAAATTCTTGTGTTCTTTAATTTCTGCATTTATTATTCCGTAACAGTAGGATAAGGAACACATAGAAGAATTAGATCTTCTATAATTTGTGCACGCGAAAAATTAGACACCACACAAATCACCGAAGTTAAAACAACACTCTTGCGCAGTAGCAGCGAAGCCATGGTAGTATTTCGACTCGCTCACCACCAACGTTTCAGCTCTTTACAGCACAAACACTCTCCTTTTTCACCCTTCACTCCTTGAAATAACAAATACTGCTCTAACAGGTGTGCAGAGAACGTAAAGCTGTAGAAATTTAAGCACAAGAGTGATAGTCGAAGAGTAATATATCAGATCTGTAAAGTTGTTCTCCTCCTTATGCATTGTCTCTTGCTTCAATATTGAGACTCAGGTGTACACTGCAATATCTGCTTCAGTACTCATTGCAGGAGTAAGTCATTTATAGCCTGTTTGGCCAAGGTTTAAAAATCAATTTATTTTAAAAAGATTTTTTTTTTTGAAAAGTGCTTTTCTCAATAGTATTTTTGGGTTGTGTTTGACTAATTAATTTGAAAAGTACTTCTGAGCAACAATTAGTGTTTGACAAAACTTTTAAAAAGTGCTTCTAAGTGTATTTTTCTCAAAAGTGCTATTCAAAAGAAGTACTTTTGAGAAGAAAGTATTTTTTTCAGTTTCTCCAAAATTGCTTCCGCATCTATTCAAAAGCATTTTTTTTCCTTCTAAACGCTTTAACTTTGAAAAAAAAACTTTTTTATTTTTGTAAAAGAAGTGTTTTTGGCTTTGAAAAAGTTTGGCCAAACAGTCAATTAGACTTGTATCCTCGACCAGTTCCTAAACAGTTGGGACAAGTCTTTTATCCAAACAATGCATTTATGATGTAAATGTATACAAGTTGAACTTAGCTGAATCGGAGAGGATACGATGCCTATAGGCAAAACTGGAATAAAACTGTACATAGGCTGATTGAGATGCAACTGCTCACTGCAAGATGTACATGCAACTCATGTATAAGCACATGTATATAAATACATTTCAACTTGTAATAAGCAATACTGCAATTTATACAATAGACTGAAAGCTAGATATGATTTCAAAATGCACTTCCAAACCAGGTATATTGTCGTCCCCACTTAGACATGGCTGTCCAAACTAGCTGTCAGAGCATTCATGCTATTTTCAAATCCTACCATATGCTAGTTTATCCGAAACGAGCATTTAGGGGTGACGTGACGTCTCTACTTACCTCAAATAATTTTCCTAGGTGTTTTTTTTCCTTACAAATAAGTGAAGAGCTTACAATTTCCAAAATATAAGTGGCACAACCTGATGCGTTCAGCTGCTACATGTCACTCCTCTTTGCATGCCCTTTCTTCACAAATAAAAAAACTTTCTCTATACGTGTACCAATTCTCATCTTCTGTACTACTACCGCTACGTGTTTCATCACCAAAACCAAAGTCAAAGTTCAAGATTACCCTCTTATATAATATATCCATCCCCTCCTCTAGCACCTACATTTCCCCCCAGAAAAGAACAATGGCCATCTCTAATCTTCTGTTCAAGTCATTTCCTCCTTTGCATGAGCCCAAACTCACCATCCAAACCAACAGATCATATGATTACCATAGCAACAAACTATCCTTGTGGTGTAATTTCCAGTGCAAGAACCGTCTAAAAACAGACAATAGTACTACTCCAAGAAGCAAACAGCCTAGTCTTTTCAAAGACCAAGATTACAAGGTTTCCTGGCAGGAAGAGCTAAAAAGAGCATACCCTTTTGAGATTTCATCAACTCATAAACGGGAAGATGAGGAATATTTGCAAGAATTGGTAGAGAAGAGATGTGTGGAGAATGTGAGGATGTTGATAGTAGACTCAGTGCAACATGCAAAGGCAGGGCATGGTGGAATGGCACTTGGGATGGCTGAGGTTGCTTATTTCTTGTATGGGAATGCCATGAGATACAATTCAAGAAATCCCAAGTGGTTTAATAGGGATAGGTTTGTTTTGAGTGCTGGCCATGGATCTCTTCTTCAGTATGTTTGCCTTCATCTTGCTGGTTTCCAATCTGTTCAGGTACATATAGAAAGTAATGTTTGTCATTTTTTATTTTATTTTTGAAGCTTTTAGATTGTTGTATCTGTAGCCAGGCTAATTTTACATTGATAATAAAGCCTAAAACTAACGAGCGAGATACACACCTCAACCGAGGGAGCAGAGGCGATTCCAGAATTTGAAGGTTATAGGTTCCGAATTTATCTATCAAACTTATAGTTCATTTTGGATTCGTTAAACACAAATATGTAGAGATGGACGATTATATCCAAAAAGGAAAAGAAGAATCTGGAATGGCATGAGTTATGTTTCGTATTAGCATAATTCAAGGCCTGAATAGGGCACCTTGTGACATTTCATATCATTTCCACTTTAACTAATGAAATTAGGCATAGTCTGAAATTCTTATCATTGAAGTAAGGATCTACTTTATCCAACGGAAGTATAAGGATTTTCTTTTTGCACGGTCATTGTAGTTTAAACTATTATAGTAGGTTAATTATCATTTTTATCAGGTTGGTACCAATTAACATTAATAAATTTCCTATACAATCGGCTTTCTTTGTCAAACTTTACTCTTAGCAACTCCTATGTTTGAAACAAAATGTTGTCTAATTAGGACACAAATTACAAATGTCTAGAAAAGTTCTATTGCTATTTCACGATGCAATCCACATCGATTAAATGAAAGTGAAGGACCCACAACAACGATAGAACGTCCTGAATATTCGGTACGAAGGAAGGGGTTGGGTTAGGAGTGTATTCAATATGATTCTTTTCCTCTATTTGTTACTATGGAAGTAAATTGTTCGTATATGTTGTTTGCTTTCCGCTTTCTTCTTTCCTTTCTCTTTTTTTTTATGGGTTCCATCTGACAAGAGAGTTCAAAGTACTTTACAAGCTGTTAGGGGGAAAACACAAGATCCTTCTGCAATGTTTTTTCCCATACAAACGTACCATTCCGATGGTAACATCACATGGATTCAAGTATTCTGCTTTTTGCATTTTAAAAGGGGACATTTTTCCTTTATGTTTTGTCAGGTTCAGCAAACAGTTTTGACAAATAATACAAATTAAATAAGCATGGAAGTTTTGTGTGATTCAGATTGAAGACCTTAAACGCTTATGCAAGCTTGGAAGCCGGACTCCTGGGCATCCAGAGAATGGAGTGACAGAAGGCATTGAAGTCACAACGGGTATAGTAAAATGTCACTTTTCTTTTTAAGACACCTGATAGAATTTAGAGCTATATTCTCAATATAGTATGATGATAGTTTTGTCGCAGAATTATGGATTTCTTGTATACATGTCACGCAATCACGATAAACCCCTTCACAGGAACTCATACTGAAGAAAATCTTGTTAACTTTGCTTTAAGAGATAGGGATCCCACCAAACTACAAGCCTCTTGGATATGAAGGAACACTTCTAGAAAGAAACCTAGGCAAATAGCGCTGGATATCGAATGAAGAGTCCTGCATAACTTGATATGAAGGCATTGGATTTGTCTGTGTATGATACCACAATGTTGTTCTCTTTCCTCCTTGGATTAAGGAAATCTGATCAGGATAATCCCAATTTTTGTGTTAAACTACAGGCCCCTTGGGACAAGGTGTCGCTAATGCGGTTGGTCTTGCTTTAGCAGAAGCTCACTTGGCTGCAAGATTCAATAAGCCTGATGTCGCCATTGTTGATCATAGAACGTAAGTTGGTTTACTATCCCTTTTTAATTTGCGGATGAAACCGAACAGCATTTCACTTGGATAATATTTCTTCAGGTATTGCATCATGGGTGATGGATGTTCTATGGAAGGCATATCAAATGAGGCTGCATCCCTGGCCGCACATTGGAAGCTGCACAAGCTTACATTGATTTATGACGATAACCATAATACCATTGATGGTAGCACTGACCTTACACTTTCAGAAGACATATCCGCACGATTTGAAGCTCTAGGATGGAACACTATCACTGTAGATAACACACAAGGAAATATACAAGCGTTCAAGAATGCACTAATCTCTGCATATAGTGAGACTAAGAAACCAACTTTCATCCGGGTATGGCAGTGTCAGAATTGTGACAATTATTTATGACAAGAAACGCCTTCATTAATTCTTCTGGATGGAGATGCTGTACAATTGAAAAGTTCTCTACTTTCAGGTGAAAACAAGAATAGGGAAACTGTCAAAAAAGGAGGGAACATCAAAAGCTCACCATGGAACCTTTGATGAAGATGATGTAAAGCAAATGAAACAGAAAGTTAAATGGGATGATAGAGAACCATTCTATGTCATTCCTATGGTTTACAGGTTTAGTGTTTGCTGTTTTGCACTTCTATAAGGACAAAGAAGAGCATCTTATAAGTGCATTTGTTATCAGGGAAATGCAAGCACAAACAGATCTTGGTGGAAGGTTGGAGGAGGAATGGCACTCCAAACTTCATTATTATCAAAGCAAATACCCTGAGGAAGCGGCAGAATTCAAACTTCTCCTTGCTGATGGACTGCTTCCTGGCTGGGAAAGCTCGTTACCGGTAAAATATGCATCTACTTTGTACCTTTTATACACTTCAAAACTGAATAAAAAAGAGGTCTCTCTAAGAAGAGACATAAACACACCTAGAAACTAATTCATCTGAACTGTGTTTGTGGATGCATTCTCAAAGAAAGACAAATAATTCCAAATCAAATTCAGTCTTTTGAAAAGGAGATTATGAAGGGAAATACTTGATACACTAATTGTTCATCGACGAAATCACAATAAGTTAGCAAACACAATCGTTCGTCTCATTGGGTGGTTTCTGAATAATGTCAAGAACTAGGACCAAATTATTTTATCTGAGCTTCGGAGGAGCCAAAAATGCTGTTGATAAGTATTATGGTCAATGTTTGTGTTACATATTTGGTAGCCTTTGGACATTAGATGTTTGCAATTGTTGTTTAAGACATTTCATAACAAGATATAGTTTGAGCCGCCATACTTGCTTACTCTTCTTCAGCCAGAGTTCTTTATCTAATACTTGTTTACACTATCATCAGAAATGGTCCATGTCTGATCCCGTGGATGCCACCCGAGGATATTCGGGGAAGTGCTTGAATGCGCTCGCTAAAGTGCTTCCTGGACTAATTGGGGGTAGTGCAGACCTTGCCAGCTCAAATCAAGCCTATCTCCATAATCTCGGAGACTTCAAGCAGCCTGATTCCCCGTGGGGACGAAACATTAGGTATGGAGTCAGGGAACATGCAATGGCTGGAATTTCCAATGGACTTGCATTGCATGGTGGCGGCTTGATACCATTTGCGGCAACCTTCCTTGTATTCTCAGATTACATGAAGAATTCAATCAGATTATCCGCTCTTAGCCGCGCTGGAGTCATCTACATTATGACCCACGACTCGATCGGATTAGGCGAAGACGGACCAACTCATCAACCAGTTGAGCACTTAGCTGGTCTTCGAGCTGTTCCCCACTTGCTGCTCTTCCGACCAGCGGATGGCAATGAGACTGCTGGAGCCTATAAGGTAGCTGTTGCAAACCGAGATGTACCTAGTCTTATTGCATTGTCAAGGCAAAAGGTGGCAGCCCACGTGGAAGGAACGTCGGCTGATGCAGTAGAGAAAGGCGGGTACATTGTTAGTGACAATTCCGTGGAACTACCAGAAATCATATTGATTGGCACTGGATCAGAACTGTGTCTGTGTGAAGCCAGCGCGAACGTGCTGAGAAAAGAAGGGAGGAGAGTGAGAGTGGTTTCCCTGGTGTGTTGGAGACTTTTCGATAGGCAGCCGAGGGATTACAAGGAGCTTGTGTTGCCATCAAATGTTTCGAAACGTGTTAGTGTGGAGGCAGGATCACCCTTAGGGTGGAAGGAGTATGTTGGAGATGAAGGGTTTGTGATTGGCGTCGACGACTTTGGGGCTAGCGGACCATATTCAGAAGTATTCAAGAAATATGGTTTCACGGAGGAAAATGTAACCAAGACTGCAAAATCATTGCTTTCCAAATGAAGCTCTATTACTACACTTGTTATTAGAGGCAATATCATACCTTGTCAAGAGATACATTGTATTTTCGTTTAAATGCTCAGGAGGTTTAATGTTCATAATATAATATGATTGATGTACTTGTCTCACCAACTTTTAGGAGTTTTTGCCAATGCAAGCTTGTCAAGTGCCAGTCGAACCCACTCGATTTTAGGTCTCGACAATTTCTGCAGGTATGTTCTTAGCAAATCAAATTTATCACCAGGAAACTAGCTCAATTGAATTATATGCTGAATTAGCACCAATATTATATGTGATTTTCTTCCATCTGCTAGATGTATATGTACAGAACAAATGCATATTTTAAGATTATTATCTTACAGTTTACAATAATATGATGAATAACCAATAGTAAACAAGATAAACCTATGTACTTGGTAAATATAACAATACATGACTTTTGGTTTTTATCGTGTGTTGTTCGGATCTTTCAAAAAATGTTATTGGTGGTAAAATGTTATTGGTAGTGTGTTTAGATACTCCAAAAGATGTGACACGGGTGCGGCGATATTTTGGAGATCCAAGCGGAAAATGTTATTGGTGGTAAAATGTTATTGGTAGTGTGTTTAGATACTCCAAAAGATGTGACACGGGTGCGGCGATATTTTGGAGATCCAAGCGGAAAATGTTATTGGTGGTGTATTTAGATACTCCAAAAGATGTGACACGGGTGCGGCGACATTTTGAAGATCCAAGTGACATGTCCTTTAACGGACAGTCCTCATTGACCACATTAGCGTGAGTTAATAGATTTTGTATTTATCTATTTTTTAGTATGTTCGGATGCTCTCAAAAATAAAGAAAAATGTCTCGAGTTCATATTCACAAGTTTTTTCTTTTTGTCTCCCAAAATTATTGGATGATTCTCACGAATGTCTCAGATAAAATACAAGCCGCTAGGAAGGTCTCAATAAGCCACGCACTAAAACTTTAGCAAGTGAGGAAAAAAACATGGAGATAATAAAGGAACACCTTTCCCTTGGGAGTTGGGAAGGCTATAAATATATCTGAATAAACATGAGCAGCATTCTTTTCCATTCATCTAATCAACTTTTAAGAAGAGCAACCAAATTGAGATGGCAGCAATATATTGAGAAATGCCTTAACCATGTTATTTATACTCTACATGCTAATTATTGCATTTATTGCATTGAAGTTATTATAGATGAAATAAAAAATATTGGACTTGATATTGATAATTTAAGAAGGCAAGGATATGATAATGGGTCCAATATGAAGGGAAAACATCAAGGAGTGCAAAAAAGACTTCTTGATGTAAATCCTAGATCATTTTATACACCATGTGGTTGTCATAATCTAAATTTGTTACTTTGTGATATGGCTAATTTTTGTACAAAAGCTATATCATTTTTTGGAGTGGTACAACGTATATATTCACTATTTTCATCTTCTACTAAGCGATGAAAAGTATTAAAGGATAGTGTATCTAGTCTAACTCTTAAATCATTGTCACAAACTCGTTAGGAAAGTCGTATTGAAAGTATTAAAGCAATAAGATTTCAAACTCCACAAATAAGAGATGCTTTATTGAAATTAGTGATGATCCAAAAACTAAAAGTGAAGCTAATTGCTTAGTAACATATGAACTCGAAAATTTTAAATTTTTATTAGGTATGACTATTTGGTATGATATATTATTTGTTGTTAATTCAGTTAGCAAAAGTATGCAGTCAAAAGACATGCATATTGATGTTGCAATAGATCAATTAAAATGTTTGATTTCTTTTTTTAACAAATATAGAGAAGAAGGATTTGCAACTGCTATGATTTCTGTCAAGAAAATTGCATTTGAAATGAATATCGAACCCGAATTTCGTAAGAAACGTATGATATCTAGGAAGAAAAAAATTGATGAGAATGTTGATAACGAAATCTCAAAGTCTCTTGAAGAGTCCTTTTGAGTTCAATTTCTCCTAATAAGTCTTTCTCAATTGACAATATAGCTAACCCATTTAATCTCTCTTGAGACATTGTTGATCTTAGGTAAGAGTTTATCAATTTTAATTTTGAAAAGCTTCTTTCCGCTGAAGCAACAGTAACTGAAATTGTTAACATTATTCTATAACCAATATAGACATTTGGAAAAGAATCAAGTCTCTTTATTTGATTGAGTATATCGATTAAACTATTATCTTCTACTTGTATTATTTCCCTTAATACTTTCAACTCAGAAAACAAATCTAAACCATCAATATCGGATTAATTATTATGCTTTAAAAAAAATTCAAAATTAAGGCAATGTGTTTTTAAATTTCCATCATTTAGTGATCTTAGTTTTTACCACTAAATAAAAAATAAAAAATATTTTCATATGTTTCAAATTGTTCAAATCTATTTTGAAGTGAAAAAATAGCATTGTTTGCTATGTATAATATGCGGCGGTAGCCCTATCAAATTCAGCTAAAGAATGCATGCCAACTTGCTTGGCTGTTAAAGGTTCCACTATTGTATCTTGTGAAAAAGCTTGTGAACAATTTGCCAGCCAAATCCGTTCCAAAAATTAAAATCCATTTTTTTTGTTGCTACGCGCTATAGGAGTATGCTTGGCCTAGAGGTCATGCCCACCTGCTTATACGCGTATAGCAGATCTGGGACCTATTGTCATTTCATCACGACCGTTATCGATCATTACTTATTAAATAGAATGAATATTAAGAATTTGCAATAGGTGGATATATATTTCACTTTGTATAATTTCTTTCAGTTTTTATGTCAATGGATGAGTTTGGGGTGTAAATAAACCTTAAATCATCCTATGCTAATGTAATTAATCTACTTATAAGTCTAATACTTGAACTTGCACAATACTTCATCTTTTGCATTTCAAGAAAAGATCATTTTCTTTGGGTATCTGCCATTCACATACTTTGCGGAGATGATCTTGTTCGTCTTTTGTGTCTCTTTTATTTAATTTGAGGAGATGATGATAGTATATTCATATCAATACACACACACACACACTTATATAGCAATAATTCGATAGTATTTAGCTATAATAACTAGTAGTGGAGCCCGAATTTTCATTAAATAAGTTAAAATATAAAGAAATAAACTCATCAAGAAGTTAAGGAGTGTCAATACGTAGTATATATATATATAT